TAAGGGAGAGCGGACGGGATCCCGTATATTCCGGTGGGTATGGTCGTATGTGATGGTTCTTTCGAGTCATTCTTCCCATGTAGCAAAATCTCAATTAGGTTAATGCTGTGCTTGTCCGAGCCGGAAGGGTGCCGAGCGGTGTTGTGGCTCTCATCACTGTAGTATATGATACCATTCGAGAGCATAACACGCTTTCCTGGTCCGTTGGGGTGCGGCATAGCCCCCGGGGTCACCTTACCATTAATAGGCGGTGCCAGTTTCCCGAAGGAATGGAGGCGTGTGAGGTCGCACGGGACGTGTCAATGAAGAGTTGAAGGGGGGAATGGAGGATAGGTATGTGCCAGCTTATGTATCTGCGTTTCAGCACCGGCGCCAGGGCCAGGAGGCCACAGGCCAAGGGCTCGTGGGGTTGTTAGCAGCGGCAGGGTGGGAGTAGCAGCATCGGTGGTATTGTTATGGCAGCGGCAGCGGCAGTGGCAGAAGCAGTATCGGCATCTGCGTTGCTGGTGGTGGTGGTGGTGATGGCGGCGACAGCGACTTCGTCCTTGGGGAGGGGGGTCCCGGCCTTCGCTTGGAAAAGTGGTGCTTTGGGAGATTGGTGTGGTACAATCACTCCAAGGTCACCCAAACCGCGCCGCCGAACGAGACGCAATTTATGTATGCAACCCGCGTGTCCTCGCTCGCCTGCCCCGAGAGGTTTGCCGTCTCCTTTGGTCCGTCGTTCAGGGCGCGACGGCCTTTACTTCCGTTCCGCTCTCCCCCAGGTTTGTGTGATGGTGAAGGCACAAGCCAACGTCAAAGGGAGTTGAAGGGTGCTGGTAATGCCTTTCACGGCCTTTATCACGTCCAAGAAGACGTCCATGGTGGTGGCGGCAATGGTGGCGGCGACGGCGGTGGTTTTGGTCATGGTGATGGTGACAATTTCTTGTTTTTTCCAGCAGCTCGCAGCTCGTACAGTGTGTCTCGCTCGCGAAGCAGGTAGGCAGGCTAGTGCACGGGCCTGCCTCAAACACGGACAAAAAAGATGGCGCAATTTGACAGCGTTTCTTTGTTCTTTCCTCAACGTATTACTGCCTTTGACACCCCATTTCCGGCACTGCTGCCCACGGCCATGGCCATTGACCTGGCCCCGCCAGCTCCAGCTCCAGCTCCAGCTGCCGGGTCCCGCCCCCGCTGTCAACCCGGTTCGGTCCGCTGACCCCGGCCCCGGCATGGAGGAGCTGGGCTTGGCCCATTGGCTATTTCTGTGGCATTGGCAGCTTTCTTTTTCGTGATTAATAATCGCTTTACTACGCATGGTGCCCGGCTTTTGTTTCGAGCCCCGTTTGGGTTTTATCAAGCTAGTTAAATAAAATAAAAACGAAGCCCTTATAAAATCACGCATTTTAAAAAGCAAGCATGTAGTAAATTAACACGCCCACCCCAGAAGAAACGGCATCCCTACCTAAGCAACAACACGGCTGCGCATACAGGTTTTTAGAGTTACATTTGCTATCGCCGTGAAATAACGTCTGTAAAAATAGAAATGGAAATGAGAACCAAAGCAAAAATATAAGAACCCAGACGAATAAAGGCAGGAATAAAAATAGGAAGCAGAGTTAAGAAAGCTAACGGGATTAGCAATTTTAATTTTTAAATGTTCAACCACCCATTTCCCTTTCGTCGCCGGGGTTATCAGGTATTGCAAAATACTTAGTTTTCTTGAGAGCTTGAAAAGATGACACTACTACAATCAGTTCATTTTAGTAATAAAGTCCCGACATTGGGCTAAAGGAGCAACATCCATACATGTTTACGAGAACTTGCAACGCGCCGAGGTAGAATCATGGTACACCCAGAGGGGGTGGAGTGGATAATTCTGCTCTTCCTCGATTCTTGGTCACGGTTAGCATGAGACTAGATTCGCGGCTGGCGCGGCCCGTATCACGGCCAACGAGAAGCTGCGAATTACCATATTCATGGAGACTAGAGCAGTCACACGGCCGTCTCCCGCATGAGCTCACACTAACTACTCGGCCCTGGCCCAAAAAAAAAAAATAGGCGGGGGCTTGCGCCCGAGTGCTAGGAAGTATCGGCCAGCTCCCCGCGGCGTTCATCGAAAATAGCTCGTAGACTTGGCCCAGCCGTACTTGGCTCTGCTCATGGGCTAGCCTGGGAGGCTAGGTGGAGGGGGCGGAAGAGGTGGGCCACGAGAGGGAACGCACCCCTGGGCGTGCGAGAAGAGGGTTTATGGTGAGAGTCAACTTCAGCCCATCCCCTATCTTACCTTGGTAGTGACTCTACCACGGGAGTATCCCATTTAATGGGATACATGAACAAACGAGAGGCATGTTCTGGGCTGGGAAAGACTTGTGTGGGTGGGCTGGTAACGATAATCAGCGAAGAACCGGTTTGGCTGACCTGACCGGTTGCCCGAAGGAGGCCTGGTCCCATGCTGTGTACTCTGGCCGGATGAGTGCAAGGATCTCTTGGCGTAAGAAAGGGGATGGAGTGGGAGGGAGATAGCGCCATAGTAGTCTCTTCTCCCGGCTTACAGGCTGTTTTCGGCCTGGGTTAGGGGTGTGTTTATCCAGAATGGCGGCACCCCCGGGGCTGATAAGGGCTGACGGCAAGGTGATATCTGTGCAAGAGCCATGATCCTTTGGTGCGTGGACGATGAATCTAGATCGCGCCTTGTCTAGGAGCCGCGCATCGTGGGACCTCGCTTGGAGGTGGATTCCGTCGGAGGGCCATGGGGCCGAGCCAATAACGAGGAGGGGACGAGGGGCTTGAACGCAGTGCATCGCCACGGTGACCAGGCCTGGCCGTCACGCCCGCTCGCTCACATGTGTATGTGACAAATACCTGACTTGGCGTGGTATGCAGAGAGGCATGTGTGCCATGCGAAGAAAAGTGAGGCGAAGAATGTGTGCTTCCCAAACAGGTTATAGTTCGAGATGCAATGTAGATCATGTCCTCTTTCATCGCTTGTACGCTTAAGGAAGCTGGCAGGTTCGTGATCGTCAGGACCGTTGCGGCGGAGGCCTCACAACCCGGGCAAATATCCCGGAAAGGGGGGGTTGGCTTGGTGATCGCCGCCTAGCGTAGAGGTTACAGGGATAAGAATTGATAGGGCAGTGGGACAGCCCGCCCCAGGAACACAATCAGCAATTCTAATCCCTGGAACCTCTCCAACCGTGATCCAGTCGACTCTACTCCAAGGGCCGCTGGCCTGGGCATCGGGCGTTATGCTGATCAGGCCTTAAATGGGAAAGGATCAGACCTGCCCAGATTCGAGGCTTGGTTGGATGTAATCAGGGATTAATACCAAGGTTCTATCTAGCTCATCAATGCCGCCCACGGCAGCCCTAACCGCCGAAGCGCTAGACTCATGCCTACCATGGCTCCCCCGGCCCCGACCTAACAGGCATGGTTGGTTCACCTCTCGGAAATCGTGATAGCAAAACTTTCTCTTCCACAGCGTCACGCCAGGGATAATTAGAAACGAGAATACGAACGAGAACACTTAGATGCCTACACGTGCCAACAGATGAGGCCCCTAACAGATTCCAGTTTTGTTTATCAGGGAGATTAAACGCAACGTGTGCAATGATCTTTATTCCTAACCCCACACCACCCAGATGTGTACAAACAGCATTAAGCTTGTAAGCAAGCAAGGCACGTACCAATCTAGCAAAACGAAAAGGGAAACCCAAATACTAATACATAAGAACGCCACATGACCAACCCTGACATATGAAACAACTGGATAATTACGCCACTAGTGAGGCATTTTCCCTTTAGATAAAGTCGGCAAAATCATTGCTATCGATCTGGAGGTTGGCCATGTTGTGGTGCTCCTGGAGCCGAAGTAGGACCCTCTGGGCGGTTTTGCCTGCAGGAGATGGTCGGTCAGTGTCATTCAAGCGCCGGAGGAGGATCGTGAGGCTCACTGAGTTTCTGGTTCGGAACGTTGCCCTCCATGACTTGGATGGGGCCAGAGATAACCCTCGCGACGGGTTCTGTGTACTCCAAACAGCGGTAGATCTCGACGTGCAGGGCATAAGTCCCAGGCCAGGCGACCTTGAGCCCCGAGAAGGCGAAGTACAGGTGGAGGTCACCCCCGTCGGCGCAAAAGGCGATCCCACCCGGGGACGTCCAGGCGGCCCAGTTGCCCTTGCTGGAACTGCTGCTGCTGCCGCCCGCCCGGCTGCTGCTGCCGCCGGCACTGCGCTTCTTGGGAAGGCTCTCCCTGGCCGGGTCGACGATGATGGGGTCCGAGTGGGTGGGCTCCGAGGCGTGGCACATGAGGCCGTGGGTGCCGCGGTCCGACTCGAGGGCCTCCTGGTAGTTGGAGGTGCCCGGGATCAGGGCGGGCTCGACGGGCTGGTCGTCGAGCGTCACGAGGCTGCAGTGGGCGTAGACGGTCTCGCCGTGCTGGTTCGGCGGCAGGATGCGGACGGCGACGGGCGGGATCTGCTGCCCCACGCCCGTGTAGGACACGGGCTGGACGACGAAGCTGAGGTCCCACGACCGGCGGATGTCCTCGTCGCTCAGCTGGTGGTGCTGGTGGTCAGACATGGTGATGAACGGCCTGTCTCCTGAGCTTTCTACTTGAGGGAACAAGGGGGCAGAGGGGCTGTCGGTATGGCACAAGGAAGCAACTGCGGAAGGCTGGGTGATAGGGAATGGACTGGCAAGCTGGCCGAGTGGGGATATCACCACCCTGGAAGGCGGTAGTACTGTAAATGGGCCTGGGAGCGAGTGAAGAGGCTGTGGTGATGGTATAGGGGCAAATACATGGTGATGAACGGGCTGGGCTCACATTTTTATACCCAGCCAACGCCAAGCTGTCGAGTACGGCACACATCTTCTCTTGTCTCGATGATGCCCAGCTCGGGTGGCCCTGTCGGTTACTCTGCTGGGGCTGCTTCCTACCAGCCTCTCGCGTTTGCGAACTTCTCTCCTCTCTCTTGCTTTTCGTCGGAGTGGCGAGGCCCCCGAGATGTGTGGCTTGAAGTCACCGGCTCATTGTTCAGTAATCCCCATGGAAAGAATAGAGTATGTGAGCGACGCCCGAGTCGTGGGAGGACGGTGGCAGCAAGAGGCGGGACACGGGTGTGGGAGCAGTAAACAAAAGGAAGAACAGAAACGCCAAGCAACGAGGCTTGACCCGAGGACCGCCTGGCTTAGCCGCCCATATATGAAAGCGGCCTAGAACGGAATGGGTGGTAATCTTCGCGCTCGAGGAGTGCGCGCGCGCGCAGGCCTGGTCGAGAGCGAGCGGGGCGGAAGGAAGACCCGGGGGAGGACGGCGGTCCGTCAGGCGGGCGCTCTGGCAGCCTCTGGATTCGGTGGGGGGGAGGTATCGATGGTAGTAAGTGACTCGGTACCGGAGAGGCGCACGATCGATAGCCCAGGCCCCGGTGGGGGTTAGGTAGCAGGAAAAGTGCCGAAAAATAGTATGGCGCTGAACCCTTTTTGGAACGGAAAAACGCCCGCTCGCAGTGCGTCGTCAACGATGGCTGCGGAAACAGGCCGACCAAGCCCGGCCGACGCCTCCTTTGCCTACTCTCTCCTCTCGCACACTCCGTCGAAAAAAAAAAACACAGAAAATCCTGCTTTTAAACCGGTGAAGGTGCTTGCTTTTCCCAGTCGAGTTGCCTTATCCCCACCCCTGGAAAGGGGGAGAGAGATGGCTTCCTTTTTGTTTCTAGGGGTTGCCCTTTCTTGGCTAATGATAGCTCTCGGCACACACCGCCGCCCCCTTGTCTATTCCCAGATGGAGCATATCCACGGCGCCGGCAATAGGGCGTCCTAGGGGATGACGAGCCGCGGTGGACCACGGTCCCGCATGCTGGGGCGATCTGTCCGGGCGTGTCGAGCCGCAAGGCGAGTTCCCCGCCCTGGGCCATGCCAGCAACCTGGGCCCACTCCCACATCGTCTGGGTTTTCCATAAGCACGTCTGCGGTGCTAAGGATCTATGGCCGCGATCTCTAGAAAGTGGGAACAAGGATGTAGGAATCGGCGGGGGTAGTAACATCGATCTTGCAGGGTAGTATGTGTGGGCTAGGCAAGGAGAAATAGGAGGGATCGAGACCTGGTCGATACGGAACAGGGGCCGTCATCCAACGAGGCAAAGCAACCCACCACGTGCCCACTCAGAGTGCGAAGCCCTTCATTGTTCGGACTTTTTTTTTAGCAGGGGATCGGGCTGCACGGGCTGGGTTCAGGGATCGCCCAGGTGGTCCCCAAAAGCTCGCAATACCTTCCTTTGAGCATGGGTGGCACGAAGGTGTTGTCTTGTGCGTGCGCACACCACACACACCATGCACACCACGCACTCGCTCAGCCTTCCTGTCCTTGGGGGAAATATGGTGCTTGGCCGCGGTCTGGGGAGTACATCGCAGACACACAGTAATAATATCTACGGTCCAGGTCAAGACGCATGGCCTAATGACTGGTGTGTAGTAGTCGGGATCTGGCTGCAGTCGGTGATGAGATGATGAGGCTGAGGTACTGCACGGGTGTCCAATCGGAGTAGATGGCGAGCGTTCAGTTGTCCATCTCAGTCAAGATTGGTCTCAAGGTGTGTGTACGTACCTCTACGTCAATATGAACCGTGCTGGTGGTAGCAGGAACAGCCCGAAGACGAAAGAGGTTAGAAAGGGAAGCCGGTCTGGTTCGCATGCGCAAAACAAAGGCAGGCCTGGCCGTTTGCGGATTGGCGTTCCTGTGGTTGCCCGCCTCGAGCCCTATCCGGGATGGCACTGCAAGTGACGCCAACCCTCCCCGTGGAACCACGGCGGGCGTGGTGACGCCCTCCTTGGCAATGTTCAGTAATCGAAAAAGACAGACGGGCAAGGATCAGGACCTGGGATGGGTAGGCAGGACATGGCGATGGCGGTAAGCGGCAGTGACGCGAGGACGGCATTCAGCAGCCTCCGCATGGAAAAGGGTGGCGGGATCCCGTGCACCAAAGCTGGAAGGATAGCGCGACTGGCGCTCAGGTCTAGTAACATGGGATCTGCCGGCTGCTCTGGCATCCGACTTGGGGTCGTCCCCGAAGACGCGTACCCAGGACTCCGGTAAGGTGTAACCAAGCCACTTACAACAGCAACGCCGCCGCCATATCATTGGGAGCCGGTAGCCTGGTTTGTGGTTTGTGCACATTTACTCCTGGGACGTCACCGGGCGTGATGGAGCGAGCATTGTACTAGTACTGCACTGGAGACAAGACGACAGCTGCCATCTCCCTTTCGGTTATTTTTCGGTGCACTCCATTCAGTAGGTCCCTGCGTGACGTCTGTTGACTACGCAGCCTTGCCCACCCTCCCCTTAATTAGATGGTTACCTAGGTAGGTAGGTAGGTATGTATGTGACAGGAGAGGCACTCGAGACAAGCAGCGTGCGCACAAGGATGGACGCGTGACTGATGTTTGGCACACAGGAAGAAAAAAGCAAGATGGAGCCAGGGTGTTGGTGGCAGGGTCATCCGTCAAGGTACACATTCTCCGAACAAAAGAAGAGACTAAAGGAAAGAAAGAAAACCGACGGGCGATCGCGGCTCTTCCTCCTCGGCCGCTTTTTCGACTTTTTTATTGGACCCCAACGGTCGGGCCTGAAAAGCTCCGGCCGAGAGGTCCAATAACCGAGTCAATGGCTGCGCGCCATGGCGGGTACCACCAAAGCTAAAAAACCAAAGGAAAAACAATCCGGCCAACCGTTCTGGCGGAGCCGGACCCTGAAGATTGGAAGAGAAAGAAGGAGACAAAAAACAATGGAAAAGAAAAGCAGCTTCACCCCATCATCAACACCCACCCATCCATCCATCCATCCATCCATCCATCCATCCATCCATCCATCCATCCATCCATGGTTGCCAATCTCAAAAGGCCCGCACGCCCGCTACCCCAGGGTCTTGCTGCCACCCGATCACTGGAGCATCGCTGGGTTCGCAGCGATCACAGGGATCTCACAGCAAAGTACGAGGGTGCTGTGGGTGTCCAGCAAAAAAAAAAAACCCCTGTAAAAAAAACCCTGTCCCCGTCATCGATGTAACTTCGGTCATGGAAACAGCCGGGGGAAGAACCAGATCAGCAAAAAGAAGAACGCATCTGCACGTCCAACGTTCCATCCGCGTGGCTAGAGTCGCAACGGCAACGTGTGCCAACAACAACGTTCTTCTTCTGTGCGGCGTGTATTATAGATACAGCACCATTAACAGGAGCTGTTTGTCGTACGATTCGACTGCAATCGAACCAAGATCGCCGTCCTTTTTCCTCTTTCTGTTCCTTTCTTTCCATTTCTTGTTACTGTCACAATCCTACATGCAGCACTGCCTCCTGATCGTCGATCCCAAGCGATCGGGACGACCCCAGGCGATCGGGACGTGATATATGTATCATCGGTTTGATCTCACACGCTCCCATCCAGCCTTGGCGCCCGCCCTGTCTCTCTCGCCCTGCTCAGATAGGCAGGGAGATCGTTGGACGAACACGGCCGAACGTCGTCGCCGCGGAACCCATCCCGCTGCCGCCCTCCTGTGGCGTGCTTGCTGTCCGCAAGGCAGGCGGTGCTGTTGCGCTCGGGTGTCCTGCGTGCCTGCTCCTGAACCGCCAAACCAAACAGCCGCACGCCCCTTGAGCATGCACCCCCGCACCACCCCTTCGAGGCGCCGAGCTGAAGTGAAACTTGCTCCCCAGCAATGCTGCCCAGGACAGGGCAAAGCCTTGGCACGAACGGACAGTGCCCGCATCGGATCGACTCGGCAGGCTTTTGCGCTCCACATTTTCCGATGACAATAGATGGCTGGTGTGCAGAATCTCGTCGCCTTTGTCTGGGAGCCTTGTCGTACACGATATCCGGTGCTGTTGTGCGCGAAGCTAGCAATCTCAAATCCCGTGCTTCAAACCCCGAGCCCAGACCAAATGGGATGCATGTGGCGCGGCTGACGGTTCTGCCTGCCAGGCTGGCGCACTAGATGCGCCACGAGCGCCAATGATCCGGTTTTCACTCCTTCCGTCCAGCGCCACACTTGTCTCTGAGGCCTTGGGGTCGCACAGCATGGATGGCTGCCTCGCCGCTAACCCAGGAACTCGTTCACCGGCCGACCACGGACCGTAAGCCGCGCCTGGCGTCGGGTTGTCGAGGAGGGGCCACAGCTCTATTGGCTGAGCTGGCGACCTATCACGAGTCTCGCCATGGACGCCTTCCGCGCCCCTGATATAATCATGACCCAACCATGCCTGGCACCCGGCGCCGCTCAGCTCCCCTGCCCACCGGATCTCAACCCGGCCCGCCTGGTCTCTCCAGACACTCTCAATGACGAAATTTCCTCCGGGGGTTTGGGAGAGGCAACAGCAAGCAAGATGACTGCGGCAAATGCTTTCCGCTGCAAAGTGCAGGCTTCAAAGGTCCGATAGCGAGTGGCAGGCCGGCAAAACTAGCACATTGAGCACCTGGCGCGTCTCGCTTTAAGGAGACCCCTTGCTGCGTCACCCTACCCTCGAGGGTCGGCGAAACAAATCCACGATCCCCCCCCATCCCACGCAGACCCTCCCGATCCCCATTACCCGGTTCCATGGATTTGGGATCCTTGCTATGCTGGGGAGATCGATATCACCGCCCATCATCCCATTTCTCGTCCAGCTCGATCCAGGAGCCCAAACCGTTCTTGCCAGCCTGCTCCCACACACCCATATTCGATGGGACCGCTTGTTTGGTTTATTCTTCTGACCAGCGCCCCGCCATGCTCTTTCCACGCGCTAATGTTTCATTCTCGGTTGAGACGTGTCGTCATACCCTCATCCCAAGCGAACCGGCCAATGTCAGCCTTCGCTGACTGCACACACCAACTTCCGAGAGGGCGGCCATGCCTGCCATTACTACCGTCTTGTATTGTTTGGCCAAGTTCTTCTTCACCACTTGGAGTGCCGTCAGCCCCCGTAATTGCTCTAGGTCCGCGCCCTGACCAACCACGTGCCCGCGGCAGGGGCAGATCTAGAGAAGCTGTCTAACAGCACTTCGGAGCAACCACCACCAATCTTGGCCAGTGATATCTTCTAAATGGACAAGCGCTCGCTTGGGTATACAAGGGGAAACCCTGCAGTAATGCCCCAGTCGGTGTCGTGTTGAGCCCACAATGTTCGGTGCTGGGTTGGCAAGCATAGGAATGAGAGTAGCGGAGATGGCTTCCCGAATGGTCTCCCAATCTTGACCGTGCAGTTCCTTCGGTGCTACTACAGCCGCTCTAGCGTCCCTCACGCCCCAATGAGGATGCCCAAAAGCTGCCCACTTTCCAGAGTGGGCGTCATTTCAATCATGATGCGTGCGCGATTGTAACAGGGGAGAGAAGCAACTTTCGGCGGTTCGGAAACCCGAACGCAAACAATGCCATCAAGATGATGCTGCATGGCCTACCACGTGGCCTTGGTTAGTAGCTATCTCCAAAGTCCACGTAGCACTGACTGCTTCAATGGGATCCTTTACTTGAGACTCTCCCTGGGGATACACTCCTAGGTCGTGATTCAGATGGTTATTGCTATGAAAGAAAAGCATCAACGTGTCAAGGAGCACCAAACGAACACACAGGCAACTCCAAGCGGTTTCGAATCGCTGCGGCTCACTATACAGGGGCCGTACCTCACCAACCCGAGGCTAGGCCCCGAGCTTTCCTTGGCCGGGACACGGCGCCGTTCCCTCTGCAGCCTGCCTCGACGAGACAATCCCATAATCTCCTGCCATCCGCCGAGACACGCAAAGGGGTGAGATGGCTTGTTCAGCACGATGCGAGACGGTACACAGCCCCGGTGCGACCCCCGGCTTTTACCTATAGAGCGACTTCGCGGAGCGCGTCCATCACCCCAAGATCTGCGGAGGCCCGCCGCCAATAACAAGATATAGCAGCCGACTTGGCATCTTGTTATTGTGACGTTGCTTCTCTCGGCCATTATGGCGACGGGGATCCTGCTTGGGACCTTGGGGGCGCCCGAAGAACGACCGAAGATAGGGTCAGGATGTAAGGGAGCTTGATGCCGTAGCGCCAAGCGCCCCTGACAAGACCCGAGGCCAGTGAGGGCGCGCCACATAAGGGCTCCGCCATGGAGTGGCTGGGACCGGATGACCGCGCACTCCGGAGGCCGCAGGCATCTGCGGCACGGGCCTCGGAGCCACGGGACTTGGGTAGCTTGAGGTTGTTGTATCAAGCCTATAGCAATATAGCATCGACCACCTATCGACCTACTTGCTACTATCGTGATCACCTCGTTTCCGGCCTTCGGCTTAACCCCGTAACACACGAACACCCCTCAACATCTACCCTGTATCTTTACCACTTCGTTTCAAACGTGCTTTTGCTTCCCTGGAAATAAATCTTTAGGATGGGGAGAGAAAGCTTTAGAAACAGAAGGCGAATAAGGAAGGGTTTGGTGCCGATGTTGTCTGGAGTGGGGATTTAGAGCGGGCCAAGGGGCGACGATTGGATGTGCGGGATTTGGGTGGTGTAGCCGTGGGCGTATAATGCTGCCAATGGGACTGCAGAGCATCAACCAAAGCGGGCTTAGCTCAGTTGGGAGAGCGTCAGACTGAAGTTACACTTCAGACACCTTATCTGAAGGTCGTGTGTTCGATCCACACAGACCGCAATCTTTTATTTCTTTTGCTCTTGCTCATTCATGTGCAGGGCATACTACCACGCCACCCGCACTTGCACTGCTACAAGAATTTTGTTGGGGACCTTGAACCTGGACTGTGTGTCCTCTGGCTACCTCTACCTAAGTGCCTGGTTCCGCAAGGATCAAGCGTTAGAAGTCAGTTGGTGGTGGTGTTGAATTCATGCCAACGATGATCAAGTAATGCGGGGATCCAACCAGTGTTTTAACAGCAAGTGGACATTCATAACATTGCCCGGGCTCTGCGGTTTCTTGCAGTCATACAGACAGGGGATAGGCGCGCCACATGGCCAGTGATCGGGCTGCTTCAATCTTCAACCTGTTTGCTTGCCAGCGCCCGATGTTTTGTGGACATAGCAGGGGCTGGCTGGCTGCCATGGCTGTGAAGCGAGGAGGACATGGCACCTGTTCACGTTATCGCGGCAACGACTGGCCATGGATCAACGGCGGCTGCCAAAAATACAGGGCGCTTGGAGGCGGGCGGGGACGGCTCGATTGACCGTGGGCGCTTCTGGGGAGGGCGCTTGGTGCTGGGGCACTGGGGCCAGACCACGTGGGCTGGGCACCAGGAACAGGGGCAGGAATGGGAGCTGTCGAGCACGAGGTCGGCTTTCCACAGGCACAAACGGCGGGAGCAGGCCATTGCAGGAACATGAAACGACCCCTCTGCGGCTCGAGGAAAACAATCGGCCTCTCGACTGGGCCTGCGGCCCGAATTAGACGGCGGCCAAGCGGTGCAAGAGCCATGATTCGCAGTGACACGCCCTGAGTTTTTGCCAAGCGCCTCTGCTGGATGTCGAAATGCCCATTGAAAACGCCCCTGGTTGGGACCCTGGCTGGGACCCCTGCTATACCCTGCCGTGTCGCCGCCAATGCTGCGACAATCTGCCTCATCGGATTTGCCTTTGATCGCGGGCTATTCACGTCGACAACCTCTTCTTTGTTGCCTTCTCTGTCTCGTATTCCATCTCTTTGTCTTGTTTTTCTGGGACAGAAGTCTGTGCTTTCAATTTTGAGCGAGACCATGGGCGGTTGCTGAACAGAGTCCGAGACACAAACTACAGATGCCAGCCATCACCACAACCACCACCACCACCACCACTAGCATTCCACCAAAGACAACGACAACCCGACCGCTACGCATACACGAGACCGAATAACCAACATACCCCATAATCATGAGCACCTTCCCAATGCTTCGGACTAGCCGGAGCGAGGCCAGCCTGCGGCGCAGGCCAACAGCCCCCGCCCAAGAGCCCGCGGTGCCGAGCATACCCAAGTTCCTCAGCTCCAAGCCGCCGACACCATCGCCGCACCACCCCGCCTACGCCAACGCCGGCATTGGCCTGGGCATCCGGACCGACGACCTGCGCCCCGTCCGCGGGCCCGAGGACCTCTTCCAGGACGACTCGGCCTCGTCCATCTACCCCGACAACGACGCCGACAGCTGGAACGACGAGTACGCAGGCCGCATGGCCCCCAAGGCCATCCCGCCGCTGCCCCTGCGCATCCCCGGCAAGCACGCCGCCGGGCCCGACTCCCCTTCGCCGCCACTGCCGCCCCAAGGCACCGTCCAGCGCCACGTCGAGGTGCACACGCAGGAGCACACGCGCCACCTGCAGATGCGCGCACGCACCTTTACTCCCGTCGAGGTCCCGGGCCTGACGCGACCGGCCACGGCCTCGGGCACGCCCGTTTCGCTCAGCCCCGCCACGCCCACCAGCACACACGACGGCGGCGCCTTCCCACCCGTCTCGACAACCGTGGACGCGGCGGCGGCGGCGGCGGCGGAGCCGGCCAAGAAGAACTTTTTCAAAAAGGCGGCGGGCGACGCGGCGCTGTTCGCGGGTGGGCTGCTGCCGCACCCGGTCGAGTCGGCGCGGCACCACAGCATCATGCGGCACTCGCCCGCCATCGTCATGTACCAGGGGCCCGAGACGTCGGTGTCGGTGTCGGTCTTTGCGGACGCGCCGCTGCCGGCCGACCGCACGCTCTGGCTGCAGCAGCGCGGCTTCACGGGCGACAAGGGCATGCGGCTCAAGTCGCTGGTGGGCGCCACAGGGTCCTGGATCAACGTGACGCCGGCCCAGCGCGCCGGGGTCGAGGCCGTGCCCGAGGGCGACGAGCGCGCGTTCCAGCGCGACGTGACAAAGTGGCTCAAGAAGGCGGCGAAAGCGGGCGGCAGGGTCGCCAAGCACGCCTGGCGCGAGACGCACGTCGTGCGCATCCCCGCCGCGGCCGAGGACGGGTACTTTCGCATCATCCTGTGCTCCAACGCCAACTCGGAGGACGGCCAGCACCACCACCACCACAACAACGAGTACGAGGACGACGCGGCGGGCGGCGGGCAGTACTACTACAAGAAAAAGGTGCTCTGCTCCAGCCCCGTGTTCCGCGTGGCCAGCGCCAGCACCGACGTCAGCATCCTGCGCGGGGCCAGCGTCAGCACCATGCCGCTCGAGGTGGGCATCAAGGTGGCCAGCACGGTCGGGGTCGTGTACGTGAGCAAGTACACCAAGCCCGTGACCATGGCGGCGGGCGCGGCGCAGGGCACCGTCATCAAGAAGGCCACGACGGTCGTCGAGAGCAAGGTCAAGCACTCGGCCGCCATCGCGAGGGCCGGCAAGATGGCCTACCAGCGCTCGGGCGTGCAGGGCGAGCTCGAGGGCGCAAACGCCCGCTACAGGGCCGACGGCCACGCCGCGGGCCGCTACGACGCGCTCGGCGCGGGGCCCGGCGCCCAGGTGTTTGGCGAGACCACCATCGGCGCCGACGACGGGCCCGAGGCGCCGTTCCCGCTCAAGTTCGCCGGCAAGGTGGTGCGCGGGTCCGCGGCCAGCCTGACGAGCGGCGCGGGCGCGCCCACGGCCAACCTGGACGACGTGCCCGAGGAGGTGCGGCAGCGGCTGCGCGGCGTCTACTTTGGCTGGGCGTGCGTGTCCGCGTCGGGTGGGTCGCGCAAGAAGCCGCTCGACGAGCGCGTCGATTTCGACTGGCACCCGGCCGTCATCACGGCGGGGCCGTCGTCGGTGGCGACGAGCCGCGGCGGGCAGGCGGTGGCCGTCGTGGCGGCGCGGTCGTCGGTGGCGGTACACCTGCTGCAGGACGACCTGGCCGGGGTCGAGTTCTTCGACGTGCGGCTCAAGGTGGTGCTGATGGGCTACCTGCGCCCTCGCCTGGCGCGCGACACCCCGCCCGCCAAGCAGCAGAGGCACCTGGCGGTCGACTCGGCCCTCACGCGGGCCAGCCTGGCGCGCGAGTGCTGGCAGCCCGACGTGGTGCGCGACTTTATCCGCGAGCAGAAGAACGCGCGCACCATCGGGGACCGCCTCCTGGGCGCCCGCGACAAGGCCCAGATGCAGATGGACCGCGTGCCGCTGCACCTGCTCGGCGTCCGGACCGAGGCGTCGGGGTTGATGGACCGGGCGCACGGGAACGGGGGGTACTGGATTTCGAGGGGGTGATTTTTTTCTTCTTTACTACTTGATCACTTTACATCTGGATTACGCACAGGAGACACAGGAGACAGTTGGCCTGGCTGGTCCTCGCATCTTGTTTGACTTCAACGCAGGAGCGGCATCTTTGGGTTACGGATTTAATGGGGCATTTTAATGGGGCATTGTAATGACGAGCGAGGGAGTTTTGCTGTGTTTTATAGGTACGCATGTACCCATGGGTTTCGGAGTTTAGCATTCACGGCAGCCATCTTGCTCGGGGAGTAAAGTACATGTAATATTTGATATCCAATGGTTTCGATCAATGATGCTAAGTTCGGATGCCTCTCAACTGTTTCCACCACAGGCGGAGCTCCGCCATGCTCTGCGGGGACTTTATGGTGGTGCGGGGCACGTCAACTGGCGCCGCCGTCTCGTCCACGCTTCCTCGACCCAAGTCTCTCGTTTGAGCCCGACCAACAAACACCTGAGCTTCTATAAAGTCACCTTTATTGAAGTCACCTTTGTCCGCCCGGCCTTCATCGGCTCTCTTCCCTCCATCCCACAGCCCGCCTCACCACCCAAACCACCCAAACCACCCCAGATAGCCCCGCGCTCCAACGCGCGGCCGGCTAGCTTAGGATGCAGTCGGGAATCTCTGGCAAGTTCCGGCGTCCAACCCACGTCCAACCCGCGTCGGGCATCGAGCCTGGATAGACTATAGCCACTACTATAGCCACTGGAGTACATACTAACACAAACTCTCCATCTCCAGCCTCCGAGGAGCTCAAGACACAGTTCGCCGAGCTCCTCTCCACCCCCTCCCATTTCGCCCTACTAGTCACCATCGAAAGCGAGACCATCAAGCCGGTCGGGTTCCTGACCGACCCCAGCGGCAGCGACGCCGCCGCCACCCCCGCCGCCTTCGAGGCCAACCTCGACCGCCTCCTGCAGCCGCGCCTGACGCCCAAACAGGCCCAGTACGTGCTCCTCCGGCGCTCGCCCGCGTCGGAGCCCGGACCGGCCCTGGTGGCCGCCACGTACATACCCGACGCGGCGCCGGTGCGGCAAAAGATGCTGTTCGCGTCGACGCGGCTCACCCTGACGCGCGAGCTCGGGTCCGAGCACTTCCGCGAGTCCCTCTACGCCGACTCGGCCGCCGAGCTGAGCGCCGACGGCTTCCGCCGCCACGACGCCCACGGCGAGACGGCCGCGCCGCTGACCGAGGAGGAGCGCACGCTCGGCGAGGTCCGCCGCGCCGAGCAGGAGGCCGGCGCCGGCACGGGCGTGCGCGAGATACACCTCAGCAAGAACATGGCCATGCCCGTGGCCGAGGATGCGCTTGCGGCGCTGAGGGAGCTGGCGGGGGGCAGCAAGGTGCTGGTCATGCTGGTAGGTTTGTTTTTTATTTGGTATTCATTTCTTTGCCATACTCCAATACTAAACAAATACGCACACCTCCTTCCAGAAAATCAACCCCGAATCCGAAACGGTCGAGCTCGTCCCCTCATCCGACTCCCCCTCGTCCATCGCCGAGCTGTCGGCCACCATCTCGGCCACGGAGCCGCGCTTCACCTTTTACCGGTACGCGCACACGCACGCCGGAACCGCCGAGGAGCCCGTCCTCTTCTTCTACACGTGCCCGGCCGGCGGCGGCGGCGGCGCGCGCGCGTCCATCAAGTTCCGCATGATGTACCCACTCATGAAGCGCGCCGTGCTGGCCGCCGCCGAGCAGCAGTGCGGCCTCGCGCCCGCCAAGCGCTTCGAGGTCGAGGAGCCGGCCGAGATCACCGAGGCCGCCGTCCTGGAAGACCTGCACCCGCGGGTCGAGGAGAAGAAGGCGTTTAGCCGGCCCAAGAGGCCTGGCCGGTAGATGGGTGGGGTTTTGCCACGACATGAGGTATAGACCAGGGATACAAGGAAAGCAGGCAGTCTAACTGTTGGACTAGAACAAACAGCATTGATGAAATACCCTACAGTGCACGTAACTACCTAAGAACTTGTTTGATGCATTGGCTCATGTTCAAATCCACAAAACACGACATGCCACAGTCCCAGCACTCCTCAGTCCCCTCCCCGTCCTCTCTTCCCCGGATCCTCCCAAGTCCCGCGCCGGAACAAGGACCTCTAGTCCTGGTAGTCGCCGCCGGACAGGGAAAAGGACCCGCGCGTCTCGAGCTTCTCCTTTAGATACTCGTACACGGTAAAGGTGACGGCCTGGCCGGGCGCCACGCGCATGATGCGGGGCGTGATGCCCTTGTAGAATGCGTGGAAGCCTTCTTGTCTGTGGTCGGGTGGGTTAGAAGTTGGAAAGGGAAGAGAGAGAGAAAAGAAGAAGAAAAAAAAAAAAAACTCACTTAAACATGTCGCCCGCAATCTGCGCAATCCTCCTAAACGCCCCGACCCCCTCGACCGCCTGCGCCTTCTGCAGCCGCGTCTTGATGGTGTCGATGGGCGCGTTGCTCAGCGGGCCCATGGCGCCCGACACGAGCCCGATCAGGGTCGTCTGGTACCCCGGCAGCGTCGTGCCCGCGTGCTCGGGCTGCCAGGCCACCAGCCTCTCCTTGAAGTAGGTGTAGGCGGTGAAGTTGACGGCCTGGTTGGAGCCCTGGCGCAGCGCCGTCAGCGACACGCCGCGGTACAGCGCCCAGAACCCTTCCTCCTTGACCACCGTGTAGAGCGCGTGCGCGGCGTTGCGGTACTTTGGGATGTCGAGCGGGTCCGCCATGGAGTGGTGCTGCGCCTGCAGCCGGATCTTGATGACCTCCATGGGCGTCACGACGGCGACGGCCTCGGTGACCCCGGCGGCGAGTCCGGCTATGTTTTTTGGTATCTCCTTGTCAGTTACTGCTTGCGTGCCACAGGGATAGAAACCAGACACTACCCACCCATAAACGTCGCCCGCCCCGTCGCCACCCCCGTCTGCTTGTCGGCCAGCGACTGCTTGTAGGCCTCGAAGCTGGTGAAGCGGATGGCCATCTTGGGCACGATGCCCGTCAGCACCGCGCCCAGGCCCTTGTAGAGCCCCAGCGGCGTCTCCTTGCGCACAATCTCGCTGCCCGTCTTGATGAAGCCGCGCTTGGGCGCCCCGGGTTGCCGCGCCCGTCGGGACAGCTGCATCCGCACCTTGATGGTGTCGAGCGGGTGGCACACGAGCGCCTCCATCATGCCGGCTCCTCCGCCCGCTGGTTTGGGTTAGCCTTTTGTCTTTTGTCTCTCCGTCATGCCATCTTCTCTCGTGGAAAAAAAAAAAGAAAAAAAAAGCCCCTTACCTATTAGGTTGACGGCCGCCGACGGTGGCGGCTTGCCGTCCTTGGCTACTTTTGTTGCCATGGCTCGGCTGTGTCTTCAAGAGCCCTCCCTTCTCTGGGATCTCTTCAATCTCTTCTCTCTCCCTTTAGGCCCCCTCAAGGTTTTCTGTCCTTGCTGCCGGTTACAAGCCCGAGGTTGGTATGGGATGTCTTATTTCGCTTCTTTTGTTCCGGCTCCTAGCGCGTTTAGGGGATAACTGCAAGTCGGCAAGCACCGGGGCTGGCTTTGAGTCGACAATGGAGGCGGGCGCAAGTGTGTCAACAAGTCCAGATCGCGTGCTCGCCCGAGTCCTTTGTCCGTGTTGCAGATTTTCACGTGCTTCCGCTCCTTCGACGGGGCTGGCCCGGGTGGTTCGCAGACGGATAGCCCGCAGCAAGGAACACCCCGACCGCGAGTATCTACGTGCGCCCTTGTGGCCCGCGTCTATTTCGGCAGCCGGATACCGAGGAGTGGAGCTCCAAAAAAAAAAGGACCGAGAATGTGGGCGCCGTGTAAGTGAGGACGGAACCTGTCAGGGGGGGGGCTCTGTCGCGTCGCAATACTCAGACTTTTGCCTGCATGCGGCCCGCTCGGGTGTGTTTATGCACAGGGGCAAAAGGATCAAAGAAAAATAAACCAAGAGATGAGAGGGGGGAGGAGATATGTTCTTGTAAGAGAAAGCGTGTCACCGTCCAAACATGACACGAGCGGCGGAAGCTAGCAAATGCCTCGGCACCATGACGGAGGGAGGAAAAACACTACAAGAAAAAAAGCCACGCGATGGGTGGAAGGGGGGTAGCTCCGAGCCGCCAAGCTTGGGGTCAGGGGGGGAATGGGAAGCCGGCTTAGTTATAGCAAGGAGAAGGGAACGACGAAGAGAAAGAGCCGGATCCGAGTCTCCACAGACGGGAAGGGAAGGGGGTGTGACGGCAAAGAGAACGTCCATCTCCAAGAGTGGCCCGAGGAAAGCAAGGGGCCATTTACGAGGTACACATCAGCTGCCATTGAAGCCGACAGCCAAGGGGGTTCGTTCCCTCGGGGCTGGCTGTCGGGGATGCGGGTCTGGAGATGGTCTTTTTCGAGCCGGGGGCGCGTGCGGCTCGTCCCTCCTGGCGGACATCCAGCTAGCCGGGTTGCTAGCTAGCAGCGCAAGGGCAAACTGTTGGTTGTTGCAGGGAGAGCAAAACAAAGCACGTGCGAACCACGGCCAGGCGGGGGGGCTTGGCTGGGACGTAATTGCGCATCATACAGCTTGGTTACCTCTGGACAGTACACAAGTACACACAGCTCCGAGCTGAGGGGGGGGGAGGCGAACGGCCAGCCGGAACCGCGTCGCCTCGGCCGAAGGGCACAACAGTGAACAGCGGAGAGGTACTGTTGGAGTGAGTTCGAGTGACGTGCGGCCGTGTTCTGTGCTGGGGTATGAGATGGGCGGCAGGCTTTCACAATACCACACGTTACCCTTGGCCTGCTCCGTGTTTTGTTCCGAGTTGTTGCTGGCTCGGAATCAATCTTTAGTTGTCACAATCTTCAATTGTCCGCTGTCCCTGGCACTAGCTCAGCTTCGTCAATTCACCTCGGCCATTGTCGGCTTGTGACAGCCGCCGTGGTCTGTCAAGTGACGTACCTCTCTTTACCCCTGGCCTGCCCGCCTGCCCCCACGATAACCGACCAGCAGCCGGCAAGACTTCCATGCCTGCCTCTAGCGTCGCAGCTTGTGATTCTGCGGGGGAGCGGGGCTCCGTCTGGCCGCGCACAGCCCAGCCCAGGCCGCTGGGATTGGCCTGGGTTTAGCCGCATTCGTCAAGACTGCATGTCAAGACTGCATATCACTCACCTATCGACGGCCAGAGTTCGGCATTCCATCTCAATGGCCTACACAGTAACTATCGTGAGAGTGTTGCCAAAAAGCGGTCTATTTCGTCCCTACAGCGCATTACTACGTGGCCCTTTGATCCCAAAACTTCTTGCGCCGGTATAATGCCCGAGGTAACCACAGAACCATTTAGGAGAATAAAGCCATTGGAGGATATGATGCAGGAAGATGGGGGAGAGATAAAAGAGAGAGAAATAAGAGAGAAAAAGAAAAAAGAGGGAAAAAGAAACAGAGAGTGAGAAAAGAGCAGACCCGCTAACTAGGCGTGCCCAGCTCCTCCATGCCCTCGGTGTCGTGAAAGCTGTACAGGCGCACCTCGCCGTCATCGCCGCCCGAGGCCATGCGCGAGTCGCTGAGGCTGACACACGTCACAGGGCCGCGGTGGCCCGTAAAGGTGCGCTCGCACCGGCCCGAGGTCGGCTCCCAGACCTTGACCATGCCGTCGTTGGCCGCCGTCACGGCCCGCAACGTATCGCCCGCCAGGCCCCAGATGCCCTCAAAGTGCCCGAAGAAGGTCTTGAGGCACCGCCCCGTCGCCGTGTCGATCAGCCGGATCGTCGAGTCCAGTCCGCCCGAGAGCATGTATCGGCTTGGCAGCGGCCGCGTCGGGTCCGCCGCAAACGCGTCGCCGTACGCTGCTCTGAGACGACCCGGGGAAAGGTCTATCTCGTGCTGCGGGGATGCCGACCTGGCCCCGTTCTGGTACGTGGTGCTGGCGCTCGCAGCGGGCGGGTGCAGCAGGCTCTCGTCGGGCTCAAAGTCGGGCGGCAGCGGCAGCACCTGCTGGACGTGGGCCGTGTGGCTATCAAAGGTGCGGATGCACTGCTTGGTGTCAAGATCCCACAGCTTGACCTTGAAGTCGTCCGAGGCCGAAAACACGGTACGGGACTCGGTGTCGACCCGGACCGAGTTGACCCAGTCCGTGTGGCCCTTGAGGCAAAACGTTTCCTTGGTGACAAAGTTGAAGACCTTGACGCGCGTGTCGATGGACCCCGACGCCAGGAACTCGCCCTCGAAATGGACCCCGATAACGCCGTCCGAGTGGCCCTGCAGGCTGCTCAGCAGCTCACCCGTGTGCCAGTTCCAAATTTTGACCGTGTTGTCGAGGCTACCGCTGATGAGCTTGCTCTCGTCAAACTGCAGCGTGCGGATCCCGCGCCTGTGGCCCTCGAGCGTCCGCAGCTCTCGCCCCGTATCGATATCCCAGATCTTGATGGTAGCGTCGTACGAGCCCGTGGCCAGAATATTATCCAACAGCTGCAGACACGTCACGCCGTTGGTGTGGCCCTTTAAAATCTTGATGGAGCACTTGCCGTGCCTCCAGTTGTATCCGACCCGAAACCTGTCCCTGTAAACGTCCTTGAACGGCCGCGACTTTGGCTTCTGCGCCTGTGTCTGCTGGTCCGCCTCTTTGCCGCTCCCGCTGCCGCCACTGCTTCCCACCCTCGACAAGCGCTGCCGCTTGGGCTGTGAGGGCTCCTCCTCGACCTCGCGCTCCCGCTTCGGCGGTGTCAGTGATCGGAGGGAGAGGGGCGTCGGGATGCGCGGCGGTGGCGCGTATTCGGTGCCGTTGATAATCTGTTTCGCCTTGTTCTTTTCTATTTGCTGTTGCCTTGACCAGTCCTTCAACCTCTTGCGCTCGAGCAGTGGCAGGCCCCAGCCGCATTTTGTGCACTTGCGGTCGATGTGTTGCTCTGTTGACAGGCCAAGTCGTCAGTTCCAAGTGGCCCGCGTGCAAACATAAAAGACCAGAGTAGATAAAAGACCACTCACCACACATGTGATGCCACACCTGGTCGTCGTCGGCCAGTTGACGCCACTGTCGACTAACCTGTGCGGCTTTGCAGAGCGAAACGGTGTCTAGGTACGACAGGATCTTGTACGAGATCTCGGCGGGGAGGGCGGTTACAAAATCGATCTTGAGCTGCTCGTGAACCTCGCGCGAGACGGTCGAGAGCTGAGGAAAGCAGCACTGCGTGATGATGCCCTGAAGCATCAGATCGCGGTGCTTGGCCGGCGCCGCCGAGAAGAGCGACCAGACGTGTGTGATAGCCTGCTTGTCGGCGTTGGGGAGCCTCTCGAGGGACTGGTTCGAGGCAAGGCGCAACTGTCAGCTAGGAGTAAACCAGGGGGTGAAATCAAGGCAGAAGGACCGAGGGATGCGCAAGCAGGGTGGGCACAAGCAGGGTGGACATGCATTCTGGATCGAAACCATCTTGGTCTCGTCGGCGGCCCTCCGGCACTTGAGGTCGGGGCGGTGACGGTAGCAGAACTTGCTGTTCGAGTCCCTGGGCGGTACCATGCTCGTCGACGAGGCCGAGGGTGGGTGGTTGCTCCCCGACTTGGCCACGGGGGCGTACAGGCCCGGGATGTGCTCCCGCATGAAGGGCGTCATGGTCTTGCCGATGGTCTGGGTCGCCATGGCGGGCAACCTGGGGTGGTTGTGGTCCTCGTCCTCGGGTCGCCTTCGATCGCAGTTCTTCTCGCGGTCGGCGAGCGTCAAAAACGCCTCATCGTCCGGCGTCGGCTTGTTTGGTCGCCCTGAGAGGGGGGTGTCTGCCAGCTGCTGCTGCCTTTGGCGAGCAGAGGTCGAGGCGGCTGGCCGAGATGATAATGACTCTGGGGGCGTCGTCCAAGGTTCCACAGATTCTTGGGTTACTGAGCTTATAAAAGGTCGGCCCGGAGTGCGAGTGCGGGAGCTGGCGCTGGCGCTGGCGCTGGCGTTGGAGGCAGCAGACTGCAACAGCGGCATGTCATCGTGCCTGTGCTGGGGTGAGCGGCCAGGGGCTAAAACATGGCTGTTGCGAGAGGCGGCAGCAGCAGCAGCATTGCCGTGCCCTGGATGCGCCGTAGCAGCATCTGGACTCATGTCCATGCAATATCACGGCGGGAGAAGGAGAGGAGGGGAGGGGGTGCAGCCAGGGTGTGGCGGGCGAGCAAGAGCAAAGCGCAGCAGGTGGACGACCACTGGCTAAGACGACCACTTGGCTGGGTGCGGTTGCGTCGCTAGCGGTGCAGATGATGCCAGCTCCCAGCAGGGTCTGCCATTGGAGTCTGCACCAGACGGGCGCAGGACGGCAGGCTGGGTGGATGAGCAGAGCGGAGGCCTGTTGGGCTTGAGGGGGGAGTCTCAATGAGTTTGAGGGCGATGGCGTGCTGGCAGGGGAGATTGACTCCAGAGCCAAATTGACGCGGCTGCTGTCGAGGGAGGTGGTCCAAGCTCTGGCTGAGCTGGGAATCAGCAGGTCAGCCTCAACGGCAGGAGATTGAGGTAAAAAAAAAAATTGGAGAAGACGCTCCGCAAAAGAAAAAAAAAGTCGTAAAGGTCTCGTGCTTGGGGAAGGTTTTCTGCATGCGACTGCAACCCCTTTGGGCACGCCGTTAGTGGCCAAAGCCAAATCGATTTCTTTACACAAATACCTGGCTCAGGTAGAAACTCTACACCGATCTGAGGCTGGTGCAGCAAAAGACACAAAAAGATCAGCCACGGCCGTCGGGGTCGGCTCGGGTCTTGGAGACGGGTATCGCTTCTCGGCGAAAAAGCCACGTCTGTATATATTCCCGCCACCTCCCCATTGCCTCCTTCACCAAAGTCTCGTTCGCGATGCCATGCGGTGGAGGCTTCGACAATATGACTGACGGCCGACATTGGCGAGCCTGGATGCCCCCTGCTGAACCTGTCGTGCGTGCATGCCACGCTGACTGCGGGCTAGTTTGGTACATAGTAGTATGGGAATTCCGGTTTCCGGTACCAATGAGCTTATTACTGGGGGCAATGGCGAGCAATCCAGGGGGTGGCTTTGCTACTTGGGCGGCCAAATGGCATCATCCAAAGCCCGTCTTGTTGGTGTCGGGTACCCTGAGGTATCCTGAGATGGAGTGGACGCGGGGATGCTGATGTGTCTGCTAACAAAAGATACATGCTTCTTGACAATGCCAAACTCCACACTACCCGTCACTTTCGCTACCAGCCAGGCGGCCTCCACAGCAGCAAGCTCACTACCGGGGAAAGCCACTGCGGATGCCATCACATCGATCCATCTTGCCTTGTGTACCCCAGATCCCCATTAGCCTCGTTACGTCGGGCATATTTTACCCGTTGTGATGGGCTGAACACCAGCATCATGTTCTTTTTTCCCCCTCTTTTTAATGTGCGCACTTACCACAGTTGCCAGCAAAATGACACAGACCCCTAAATTGCCTCGCTCTGTGCCCAGTCGCGCGACACGTTGGGCTGAGATTCTGCCAGACGCCATGGCCGTGACGCCATAGCCACGCCTCAACATTTCTGTGCTGTACACGTCATATTATGGATTTCCAATTAGGTATCGGCAGGTAGTCTACCCCCTGCCCCAGGCTGGTAGCCTCATATTGGTCAGACCATCACCATGCCCGGAAACTCAACACCCGCGCCCCGTCTTCCTCGTCCCCGTCTTCCTCGTCCCCGTCTTCCTCGTCCCCGTCGTCGACACGCCAATGAACTCGTTAATCTCGATAGCCGAACTGGCCGCCACCAATGTCTCCTTCTCCACCACCGGCACCCTCTGCAGCGTAGCCAGCGCCACGCGCTCTGCCTCGACCGCCTTGGCCATCTCCTCCTTTTCCCTGTCCCGGCGCTCGCGGTCCTCCCGCACCGCCGACGGGTCTGCCGACGGGTCCGCCGCCTCCGTCGCCGCCGCAGCACCCTTATCTACACCCTCCCGGTCGCCCTCGTCCTCGGCGGCCGGCGGCTTGCCCACCCTCAACCCCTTGCGCCTCTCGGCATAGGTGGCCGCCATCCTGGCCGCGGCCTCCTCGCCAATGTGCGCCGTGTAGACGGGCCGGCCCATGGCGCCCGGCCCGGCCGGCTGGCTCAGCTGGATCTTGCGCACGGCGGCGAGCAGGGCGCAGTAGAACTTGTTTGAGCGCGCGGCCCGCAGCCGCTCGTTGGCCCAGTTGCTGCGGTGCGCGACGCTGCAGCGCAGCTCGAGCTTGTTGAGCTCGTGCACGCCCACGAGCCCGCACGTCACGTCGGGCATGTAGTCGCGCCGGTTCTCGGGCGCCGCCACAAAGGCCGCCAGCTCGCGCCGCAGCGCGGCCAGGTCCTGGAACGAGGTCGTAAAGTCGACAAACATGGACAGCCACTGCCGGTTCGCCCCGGACCGCGTGATGTTCTCGACGCGCTTCATGACCAGCTGCTGGTTCTGGATCTGCATGTCGGACCCCGTGTCGACGCGCCGGAAGACCGTGTACAGCAGCGACACGCGCTTGACCACGCACGCCGTCGCCGTCGTCGACGACAGGTTGTACACCTCGACCCGGTCGCCCACGTCGAACGGGTGGTCGAAGAAGACGTACACAACCCCGATCAGGAAGTGGTGCGCCGCCCGCCCCGCCGCGAACCCCAGCCCGACCGCCAGCACCGAGACCTGCTGCTGGATCTGCTTGATGGAGGGGACGTAGATGAGCACTGGGAAGAGGAAGAGGTTTCCCGCCCATGTTAGCCATGCTTTTCGGCAACACAAACAGCAAGGGAACAAAAAAAAAAAAAAAAAAAAAGGAAAAACTCACTAATGAAAAAGATCATGATAAACGCCAGCATCGTCAGGCACACCCAGTCAAACGTGTTGATGCAGTGGTCGGCCGCGTGCATCCCCCTGTACACGTCGTGGCGCATCTTGCCGGCCTCGACCACGGCCATGACCATCTCGTCGAGCCGCACGTCGCCCGCGCCGTCCGGGTCCAGCACCGCAAACGCCGCCGCGGCCTCGTCCTTGCGGTAAGGACCCAGCACCTCGGCCACGTCGGCCGCCGTCAGCACCTCGGCCCCGCCCGACGCGAGCGGCACCCAGATGCGCCTGGCCAGCGCCGCGGCGGCCCGCGGAGACGACAGGCACCGCTCCACGGCCGCGTACGACGACGACGGGCGGAACCAGTGCGACCGCGGGTCCGTCGACGACACGAAGTTGCCGAAGAAGGACGCCATGCCGTACGAGTCCACCCCGAGCCGCGACAGGTACGTGGTCGCGTGCCGCCGCCGCGTCGTGTGCTCGCGCCCGCCGTGCGCGTCGCGGATCACGGCGTCCTCGTCGTCGAAGGCGCCCGAGTGCGCCGGGTGGAGGTAGAGCGAGGCATCGTAGAGCGTGATGAGGGCGTTCATCATGTCCTTTGACTTGAGGATCTTGGTGTCTGTGTGTTTTGGGTTAGTCTTTGTCCTGTTCGACTTCGAGGCGAGTTCCTAGACTTACTGTTTCCACGATAGTGATAATGTATCGAGATATACAGTATCATCATCTTCTCCACCATGTAGAAGCCCGCCCAGAGGCTGACCTGCTCGAGGATGTCGGAAATCACATCGTCCCAGCCAAAGTCGTCGGGGCCCTTGTTGGCCTTGATGGCAAGCTCGTGGTTGAAGGTGATCAACTAAATATGACATCATGCCTTGGTCTCAGCACTTGATCCTTTCCCCTTCCCGGTGACACTGGATGTGGACGATAACACTTACAAACGTGAATGACACGAAGCATATAACGATGCCAAACGTCAAGCAGATAGGCAGCCTCATAGTGCGCAGGAACCTCCAATACTTTTGGTGCGCTGGGTTCACATATCTAGACAAGAAAGTTCCGCTGTTAGCTTTTTAATCATGCCCATATAAGAGAAAAAAAAGAGAGAAACTGACCTCGCTATGAACCGAAACATGTACGGCAGCGCGAGCCCGACCAGGTCGAAGAAGACGAAGCTGACCCACGACACCAGCAGCCACGAGAAGACATAGTAGATGAGCTGCGATTTCCTCTTGCTTTTGACGGCCGCCGCGTCGCTCAGGTCCACGTTGCCGTCCTTCTCCGTCACCAGGATGGGCACCAGCAGCGCGACGAAGACGACGGCCACGACGAGGAAGTAACGCAGCGCCCAGAGCCACAGCTGCCGCCGCTTGTGCGCCTCCACGGGCGGCGGCAGCACCCCGTCGGGCGCCGTCGCCGGGTCGTGGTCCTCGCCCGCCGGCTCCGAGTAGGTCGTCGGCCCGCCGCCGCCGCCGCCGCCGCCCGCCGC